ATATCTGAAGTTGATAGCGACGGGGATAATAACTTTCAAGAGTTCATGTTTTTTGAGTGACTGATCTGAGAAGGAGAATAGAGTCACATGTCTAGAAATGCCGTTACCTGGAAGATAGGAAAATCTGTCTCTAGAGTTCAGACGAATTACCTCGTCTCATCTCTCAAATGCTAATTTTGCTGCACTAGACACAGAAGTGTACAATGCTTCCCTCAGACATATAAATTCAGCTTATTGATTTCTTTTGTCAGCACAATGCTTTATACTATAATCAAATTAGCACACTGTACTTCAAGCAACCTTGCTATCTTCAAAAATTAAGCAGTTGTCTTTACCTGGACAAAATTATTTTACACATGCCCTTGTCATTATTCAGTTCCAGAAATGATACAGGAAATTATCCTCCCTACACAAATTCCATGAGTCTCTTCTTAGCATCTGCATAATTTCAAGATCGTTTCAAGTTTCTCTAACAGGAAGGAGAGTTCTTTATTTAAAGTGACTTGAAACAATGGAAACAATGGTTTTGACTCTATCTCATAAAATGTTAATCCAAAATTATTGTAATGTTGGATCTTTGTGAAAGTCTCTATAAGATGTTAAGAACTTGAAACATAATAGTGGTGCAAACATTTATGAAACTGTCTTTTGTTTATTGTGCATCATTTCCTCACCACAATAATGCTGTTGTTCACCGTTCTATAATTTATCTTAGTGCCACTTTAATTGTGTTTTCAGTGTTCATAGGAAAGCATCCTATTTGGGATAATTACTCACTTTGGAGATGATCAGCAATATGGTTCACGAGCACCTCTGAAAATTACCCTGTCTGCAGAAGGCATTTTCCTGCAAATGCAACATGTAAGGTTTGCAAGAAGGGCAAACCTTGTTTGTCTTTTCTCTTTTCCTTTTCTTTCTCCTTTCCAGTCCCCAAAAAAACATTTTATAATTTCTCTAGGACATGCCAATTTCCTTAGAACTCTTCACCAGTTATTTCTAGACATACGATCTCTCTCTCCTTTCTTTGTAACTGTGCCATTATTTTAAGTTCCCCTAAAATTCTCAGCTAATTTTAAGATACTTCCTTAACATTTCAGTTTATGTAGCAGTAAGCAAATCCAGCTGGATCTCTTGGCAACTTGGGTGTATTTCTGTACAAATATCTATTATGAAATTATCACCAAGATTTTAATTTCTGTATTTAATTACATTTGCATCGAACATGCAATCATCAATCAATTTAAAAATAAAGCAATCCTTGCAAAAACACTATGGTGAGGCTTCTTGACAAATTCAGTCACAGCAAGCTTACAGATCCTCAGTTCTTGTACACCGACTTAAGAGCAGTGATGATAGCTTAAAATGGTTCTGTTGCCAGAGCCTAATTTTGTCACTCATTCGTACCAGCTGATAGGTGACCATATAAACAATCCCACTGAGCAAAATAAGTAACATGGGGGAAAATCAACTCTTTCCTGTCTTTTTGCTAACTTCACAGGTAGTAAAACTTTGTAGGAGAAAAGCTGCATATGACAGCACAGTTGTAAAAGCTGGAGGCTACTGTGTGTCAGATAAAAGATGAGGAACATACAGATATACCCACTTAGATGCTGAGTACTGTATCCCAAAAGATCTAAGGTACTAATCAAACATGTATGTAAAATTAGGTAATATTTTCCCTTCTTTTCCCCTGAGATTTTTCCAGCAAGTCTTTTCAGTCACTGGATTTGTATTTTAATTGCTTCAAGAACCTATCAAGATTGATTCCCCCACCTTCAGAATGACCACCCCAGCAGAACGATTACTATGCTTCTTGATGTTACACCTCTTGGCCATTCATATAGAATAATGTTCATTGTAGTTTATTTCTGGTCTTATTTTTAAAACTTACATAGCATGAAAACGTGTTTGTTTTCTGCCAGCATGTTTGTTATGCATGTGATAGTACTCAGAAATCATGTTTTCTAATTCACTAGTCTAAGCACAGCCATTAGACTTCATGTCAGGCTTCTCCCCCCCCACCCTCCCCCCGCACCAGTAAACACTGCACTCTTTAAAGAATGCTGTTAGCCAAAAAATGGCAAATACTACAGGTGTGTTGTTATTGATACCGATTAGTGGTTTACAGCACTTTGAAATGTTCATCTTTTTATTAATTTAATGTATGGTCAAAACCACCAAGAGTCGTATAGATATGGATGGCAGAAAAGCCGAGCACTTTTTCTGTATCTTTCTAATCTCAGTTTGCGTAACCTCGGTGTGATACACTGTTGTGGTTCACTACCATGCACTTTTTTACAGATCTTTCATCTGTAACAAATGAGTTGTTTCATATGCAGCAGGAACAATGAAGCCCTGCCTACTTACATACTTTGTCCCCTCCCCTCCTCTCCGTCCCTCCTCTGCGTGGTCTCAGGATTTGTGCATGTACCTTTCAGGTGGTATATGTGACGGAGAACTTGGAGCTACATGGCTACTGATGGACAAACCAGCTGCTGCCTCTTCCTTCAGTCCAGTCTCTCTATTTCACGGTAGTAGTACACGAATGGGATTGTCTTTGAGATTTATATCCACAGTTTGTTGTTTTACTCCATTACTTCAGAGAGTCGAAGAATATATTCCTCTTTTCCTTGAGAAGGATAAAAAAACAGAAACTAAAGGAAAGAAACTAAAACCAGGTTTCTCCAAATCCAAATGTGGCTTGGACAGCCTACATGGTGGGCTCTGTTCAGGACTGCAGACAAGAAATTAGGCAAGCTTCTCAGGACAAGGAATCCTGTTTGGAAGCAAAGCATCCTCAACCAATTTCAAAGGAGCAAGAACTGGCCACTCAGACCTGGCACTGGTAAAATTCTCAACATATATATTATTTAAAATAAGGAAGCTTGGGATAGTAGCATTCTTTCTATTATTTTAGTTCTTGTGGGGCAAGAAACTTCCTTCTTGCTCCTGTATTGTGTCTTGGTGGAGGGTCTGCTGTACATGGATTTCAACCCTTGCATCTATGCACCTGTACAGATCAAGGTGCTTCTGTATTACTTTTGGCTTTTAATTAAAGCAGACTATTATAGATGTTATGGTATGCATACGAGTTATTTGGTTGTATTTATTAATGGTGCTTCTATTTTCTCTATTTATGCCACTTTTGCTGGATGGTAATGCTCCACACACGCTAAAACCAAAGATAAATTTGACAAATTTGGCACCCTATCCACTTCATAATGAGAGTTAGTTGCTTTTTGCACAGCAAGATTTACATTTCTTTAAGGTTTTTATCTAATATTTGTTTTCACCGTCTTTCTGTAGTAATCTATTGATGTCTGTTTCTGTAATGGGATACTGGGGCTGATGGAACCTTCTTAGCAGGGAAAACTCCTTTCAGCAAAAAACTTCCTTTTATTGCACTTTCCTGAACCTGCACCAAAGCCCCAGTTTCTGCTATTAGGCATCTTTCCCAACGTTCGGCAGCAGAATGGATCCTAAATATAAATCCAGTTCTCACCTAAAAGGCTTTGCTGAGGCTTCCATATTTTGGATTGCAAAACTGTATGAGGAATTAACAGTTCCACACCCACTTAAATATCCATGAAAATTAATGCCTTCATTTTATACTAGGTTACAAAAATCTTCAGGTTCAAGCGCAGGGCCATGTCGTATGTCATTGGGGAATAAGGTTCTGATTTACATGGTGTAGATAAACAAAGCAATGGCACAAAGCTTTCACTCTCCCCTCTACCAGCATTTTCGGTACACGTTCCCAAGTGTCCTAAAACATCACCTTCTGAGGAAAGCCTTCCAGTTTCAACACATATTTTGTTGATCCCAGCAAGATCTGACTAGAAATTTCTTCCTCCTATATTTCATAATTTTGTAAGACTACTCTGCAGCAAAAGTCAAGTTGAAGGTACCGACAGTTTTCTGAAAAGGGGGACTTCTTGTCTCCCTCCTCCTGCACAAAACCCAAATCCTCTTGAAAAGGGCAAAAAAAGGGCCAGAAAAATTATTAGGGATGTGTTAATTTGGATTAATCTTTTATTAACTACTATCACTGCTGCTTCACATTAATATAAATCCACTTCTATCTCCTTCCATGTATCATACAGGTGGTAAGGTGACAAATTTATAGAAGCTGCTTCGGAGACCATAGCTTAATTAACACCAAAGAAAAATTACGTCTTCAAAGTCAAGCTGGACAAAACCCCACCTTGTCTCTTAACTTTAGGGAAGGCTTTCTCCTTACAATGCGAGATCCTCAGCGAGACAGCACTGAGGCCTCAAAAAGCTAAGCAGTCTGTTTTTTATCGGTTTTATTTCACACAGTCATAAATAGCGGAGGTATTTTTCCCCTCTGTACTAATAACAGCAGTCAAACAAGGGGATTCCTAGAGAGCTAAACGAATAGGTATAAACCCAACACGGTTAGGTGGGGAGACGCGTGGCACACAGCAGTCCCGCTGCCCACTCACCCACGCAACACCGCGCCCCCGCGGGCGGGGGGAGCGGGGGAACCGCCGGGCCCTGCGCAACTCCCGCGCAACCGACCGCCGCCTGAGGGGAGCCCCGCGTGCAGCCGTTGGGGGTGCCAGAGCCCCCTTGGTGCAACCCACCCCCCTCGGCTCTCCCTGCCAAGGAGGCTGGGGCTCCCCGGTAAGCTTCTCCCTTAAGACGCCGCCGCCTCTTCCTTCAGGCTGCTTTCCCTCCGGCGACGGCGGGGAGAGCGGGCTCCGAGGGGCCGCGGTGGCGAGGCGGAGGGGCTGCCTCACGCACCCCAGCGGGGGGGAGCTGTCGGGCGGCGGGCGGGGAAGGAGGGAGGCTTCGAGCCGGCGGCCGCCTGGCAGAGCGGCGGAAGAATCTAGCGCGGCGCTGCCTCTCGTGGGTGGTGCGGCCGTGCGTGTGAGGCGGAGGAATCCGCGCGGGCCGGCGTGTGCCCGCCTCCTGCGCGGCGGCCGCTGCCTCCCCGATATAGTGCGGCGGCGGGAGGCGCGGGCGGTCACTGGGCGAGCGGGGCTCCGCGGTGTGCGGATCCGTGCCGTGCCGTTGCGCTGTGCGGGCGCGCAGGGCAGCGGGGTTTTGCCTGGGCTGCTCCAGTACCTCCGGCTTGGAACTGCCCACCGGTGCCAGCTCCCGAACATGAGCCTCCTGCCTCTCTACCTGCTCGGATTGCTCCTCAGTAGCGGGCAAGGTAGGAGCGGGGCTGCCTCCCTTTTCCTTTTTTTTTTTTTTTTATTCTTACCTATACTGCCTGTTCGCTCAGATTAACGTATCACCAGCAAAGAAACGGGGGGGAAAAAAATAATAAAGTAGTGAATCACGCTGGAACCGATGGCAGTTGTTTGAATCATTTCCATAAAACAATTTGATTCCGGTTTCAGCAGTTCAGTGATTCCCAGACAGGTTTCCTGCAGTACATCTGCTTTCCTGGCAGGAAAGTGGCTTCTGCTCTTGCTGGTCCTTGCTTGGGGCCCTAATTCCAGAGCCATCTTCTGAGCAGGCAGCAGGCATGCTGTGGGCTTCAGGACTGTCACGCTACTGCTGGTAGCTCTGCTTGCTTTCATGCAAAGTTTGAAATTTGGGATTTTTTTTTCTGCTGAATTTAAATGGAATCAAATTTCTGTATGTTTTGAGCAGTGAGTGGAACTATCTTTCTCGTGTCGCTTTCAACTGCAATTATGCTCATTTTTTCTTTGTTTCCCTTACTCTTTTCCCCCCCCCTTTTTTTTTTTAAATTTTCTTTTTTTTTTTTTTTTTTATTCTTACCTATACTGCCTGTTCGCTCAGATTAACGTATCACCAGCAAAGAAACGGGGGGGAAAAAAATAATAAAGTAGTGAATCACGCTGGAACCATATTAAAAAGGACCTAAAACTTGCTT